GTTATATCTATTTTGTACTTTTTGTCAATATAAGAGTAGCAATATATTTCAGTTGTGTTCAGTTGTGTGTTTACATTTTTACTTGGTGGTCATGGGATTGATGTAAAATTTATGATGTTTGGTTGCTGCTTTTGGGATTAAAGATACCCTTGTTTGAGATTGATGGAATTGATGTTTTGTCATGGTGTTTGGCTGCTTTTTTGATGTTGGGAACTTGGGATAGGTATGTTTGAATTCTGGTGGACTGTTGGCCTCTATTTGCCAAAGTATTGTTTCCTCTTCTTGATTACAAACTGTGTGGATCAGTGATGTTGCACGAAAATTATGGCATATCTTTTCCAAATTCTTTCAAGTTCAGTCCGTCTTTATGGATCTGGATCCCCTCTTGTGGATCTGGATCTCCTCGATCTGATCTGTGCGCGTGCACGGTGTCTTTTGGGTGCACTACGTCAGTTGCAGAGTCTAATTTGAGTGCATGAAACATGGGGCCATATTGAAATTCGCGCCGGAATAAAGTGTCATGTGTGCCTATCTACTATTTTCCGTACCATTTTGGAAGAACATATGCACTTTCTCAAAAATAAAAAAATAAATAAATAAAAAACGATCTACTTTCATTTGGTATTTGGCCATTTGACTCTAGATCAACTCCCCAAAAATGTTCTGTACACTGGATGATGCACAATCCCTCCTCTCACAATAGGAGGGAATCCTCTTTCCTCTTCCTGAGTATTTACTCTTTACTGACTTGATGTTTGATGGTAGAAACTTTTAAACTCTCCGAAATTACTCAGTACATGGTCAGACTTTTGATATCCATGATTTTGACACCCTATTTCAAATTGTTGACTAGTTGTGACCTTGTAATGAATTTGGAGGGGCCATGGTCGGTTTGTTATTAAAGTATGGGTTTTAATGGGGGCATGAATCTGGTTTATCTAGAACAATCATAAAAGTATGCACTTTTTGGACCACCCCTATGTTCTTTTTATTGCTCTCTTTCTTTCTTATATTTTGGTCATATTGATGTAATGATATTAATTCGTTACACCATCATGGTCTTGGAATTAAAATTTGTAGCCAATAGATAAAGTTACATGGTCTTGTTGATTTCATATTATAATACATTAGGCTAAAAAGGAGCAAAAGAAAAGAAAGAAAATGAAAGTATATAATTAATCACTTATTGTGTTTGTTTGATCAATAAAGAAAAATAAATGAAATATTAGTAATCATGTTTGGAGAAAGAAATGAAATGAAAGTATTATAATAAATTTACAATCATATCATTTTTCATAGATTTAGTTTTTATAAAAATAAGGACAAATTTAGCATTAATAAAATTTTATTTAAAAAAAAAAAAAAAAAAAAAAAAACTAGCATTTTTTGTACTTTCCTTGCATTTCTTTCCATTTTTGTAAGACTAACAAAACCAACACATCTTATATAATTTGTTTCTTTTCGAATCCCTATGTTCCCTTTCTTTTCTTTTAAAAATTCATACCAAACACAATAGTTGATTTTCCTCCTTTACCTTTCTTTTCTTTTCCTTTCAATACCCTCTAACCAAATTGGACCTTAAAATATTGAACTCCCTCTAATTTCTTTATGTTGAAAGGTCTTCAATTAGCCTAAATTACCAAATTCCTTCCCAACTCTTATCCTTTGAGTGGACAAAGCAGGAAAGTGCAGCCAATCAATGAAAAGATTTAAAATAAAATGTTATGATCATTTAGAATGCATTTGCATTTCATTTGAGTTTCATATACAATTTCACGTACACAGATACATACATATAATATATATAGATGGATTAGTAAATGAGCTTTGTTTACTTTATCATTTCCTTATCCATGACTTGGAAGAAAAAAGTGACTAGTGATACCCACTTGGTTTAAAGTTTACACTATGTTGGTGGCTTGGTCCAACTCATAAGACAACGACTACATATTGTGTAACCCTACCCTAAAAAAAGACTATATATAACGTAATTGTTGACCAATTTTCCAACTCGTGCAGTGTATTATCTCATGGTATATTAATTGGATTAACTGCATAAAACTCCTGTAATATAAGTTACATGTAAAATGCATATCTCTTTTTTTTAAATGTGTATTTTAAATTATAAAATTTAAAAAAAGGTGTAAATAAATCCCTGACCACTTTTTACCATTTTTTTTCTATTTTGCCCCCAACAGAATGTGCATAACCCCCACCACCCTCTTTCTCCATAACTTATGCTTTTTTTTTGTTTTTTTTTTTTTGTGTCATTATATATTTTATTTATTTGTGTCCAAAATTTTATTCATTTACTCCAAACATGTCATCATCTTCAAGTTCAATAAGTCATTATTATCCATATGGGAGGTCAATACAAAAATATTACTATAAATGTTATATTTTTCATCAAAAAGAAATGTTATTATATCCGGTGTTGAGGTTGTTTGATTTAGCTACACTTATTCTATTCGAGATTTATTTTGTTTTTGTTCCAAACAAACAAAACCCTACACAAATTGGACAAAATGGACACTTTTCAATCTTTAAAGATCTATTTGTAACAATTCAATAATATAGGGTGTTTTACACTATACAGGGCCTTTAATTCTCATTCAAAGACTGTTGTATAGATTACTTTCGAGTGAGTTCGTTTTTTTTTTTTTTTTTTTTTTTTTTTTTTTTTTTTTTGGTTAACACACTTTTGTCTGAGCTTTACTACTTCACATATTCTATGACCTCCTAATTCACTCCTCCACGTGACATGAACAGAATACCTTTTTTAAGGTCTCACTTAAAAATCATGTTATTAAATTTGGGATTTCTTTTCAATTCTAATAAATAAATAAAATAAATAAATAAAAACATAAATTTCATATTGTCAAACACATGCTTCAAGATTTTGTAATGTCAGCCTCTCATCTGTATTATCTTGAAGTTTTCCTAAAGAGAGTTTTCTTTCCACACGGAATCCAAAATTGTCTCAAATTCAAAACGTACATTTTTGTCCAGGTCTTCTGCCATTTGATACAAGGTATCTACTATATTGGATTCATGTTTGTGTTGTTGTCACTCGACTCCATTCGCTTTATCACACCAGTTGACCTTTCCTTTCTCTTCCTTCACCGTTCACACTTGCCTTTTCTTTTCTCTCCTCCTTCTATTGGCTGTTAATTAAGGATTTAATTACCGAAATCGTTAGGTGATGGAAGACTCCATTAATGGCCAAAATGGTGGGGCTACACTGGACCCACACCCATTAACCAAATTCCAAACACAACTCGAGTGATACAAACCAATCAAGAATTAACTAACTAGGGTACCACTTAGATAGCGTGGCTAATTTTTTTTTTTTTTTTTTTCCAGAGAATTAGATTAATATATTTTCGATCATTTAATTGTAAGTGATTTTAAGTCTAAGGTCATGTTTGATAAAATTAAAAATTAAGTACTAAAAATTTTAAAAATTGAATTTTAAGTTTCAAAACTTTTAAGTGGTTATTAAATGTAGAAAACACATTTAAAGTATATTTCGTGTAATACTTTCACCTTTATATAAAATAGTGTGAAAAAAACACCTTAATATTTTTTTTTCACATTGTGTAAAAATATCCCTCAATTAGAAATCTAACATAAATTAGTGATGTAATACCCGTTTTGCACTTTTACTTTTCCGAAAATGTCCAAGGGAATATATATGCTACTAATATCATAGTATAAGGGTGTTATGTGCACATTACTTTATATATTTTTTTAAAAAAACTTTTTTTTTTTTTTCAAACTTTAAGAATTTGTAAAATAAGGATTTGAATATTTTGAGATTTCAGTTTACTATTTTCTACCAAATTTTTTTGTTCTTTATTTTACTTTTTTTGGTACCAACACTATTAAACAAAAACAAAAACAAAAAAAAAGGAAAAAAATATCTCAATATCAGTGTGCACTGGTTTCAGAGTTTGGAGCAAATTTTTTTTCTTTGGTTTGCATTTTATTTTTATTTTCTATTTTTATCTTTACTTATCTATTGCTGACGTCTTCCAATAGTGTCATTTTCGGTTATTTTACTAAATTACTTATTTTTATATATTTTATAAAATGGTTCAATAAGAGTAATTTAGTCAACTTAAAGTTTAAATTTGTCAGAGGGACTTATTTGCACCAAATTGAAACTTTATGGGTATTTTTTGCATAGGAGGGGCGTCCTCCAATATTGTCATTTTTGGTCATTTTATAAAATTATTTATTTATATATATTTTATAAAATGGTTCAGTAAAGGTAATTTAGGTAACTTAGGGTTTAAAATTGTCAAAGGGATCTATTTATACCAAATTGAAACTTTAGAAATGTTTTTTGCACATGAGGATTTTTTTGCACTTGTCCCTAATTAAAATGTATTTTTAAAAAAAAAAAAATTTTAACATTCAGCATTTAATAATAAATGATGTCACTGTCACTTAAATTTTATCCTATTTTAACACTTAATTTATTTAAAATTAAATGCTAAATTAAGTTATCAATCAAAACCTGAAGTCTTAAGGTCATCATATATTTTAGATAACTCTTCATATCAAGTTGGGCAGCAGCTTTTAAATGATTAAATAATGGAGAAACTAGTGGTCATAAAATATTATCATGAACAGCAAAATGATGAGTTAGCAATTAGATTGACTGATTAAATAATGGAGACACTATTAATCATAAATTATCATAAGAAGCAAAACGATTACATAACAGTTTGACTGCTCTGAAAGCTCTCTCCATTAGTAATTACATAAGAAGTCATGTGGGGTTGTTTTGGTTTGGATCATATTTAATAAAGAAAAAGAAAGAAAGATTGATTTTTTTCTAGTCCCATTTAATAAATAAAAAGAAATTGGATCCTTTTAAAATGTACACTCTCTCATGTCCCACTATATAAAAGTATTTAGAATTTGTGGTGTAATAAGTGTAATATAAGAAAATATTATAAAATAAAAAAAAAATTGAGAGAGTTAAAAGAAGATTTGGGAACTAATAAACACTAAGTAACAACTAACAACACAGTTACAAACAGGACTCAACTGGGGATGATTAAAAAACCCAAATCAATAAAACCGTATAATAATGGAAAATTTGATGAATTTTCCTCTAATCCAAACAAAGAATCAGGAAAAAAAATATGTTCCTTTTAAAACTATACAAACAAAACAAATCAATGGATCCTGTAGAGATCAAGCATCAGAATGGGTTTCCGAGGTGTGGCCACTTGGAGTTGCATGTGGGGTTGTGGAGGTTGAGCTAAGACACCCTCCTCCTCCTCCTCCATTTTCTCCTTTTTTCCCTCCAACCTTACCCGCCATTTTCACAAATTTGAACACTTCTCTGATTACCTTGGGCTTGATCTGTCCTCTCCTTGGAGGTAGTAGGCTTGTTTTTGGGTTGTTCTTGGATTTGTAGGCTATGGTTTCCATTTCTTTGAATTGGGGTTTCACCAATTCCTAAGAAACAGAGTGAATTTCAGGCTTTATTTTTGAAGAAGAAGGTGAAGAAAGGCTGAGAAATAGCTTGAGTTGTTGCTTTCGGAGTGCAGTCAGGGCAGAGGCTTTATTTCATAATGATTAATTTATTTATACATGTAGGCATCTTGTGGGGCTCAAACTTTTAGTAAGCTTGGAGGCCAAGATTGACAGTGTCATTATTACACGTAAGAGAGAAAAAGTGGTATTATTACACGTAAGAGAGAGAGAGAATATTCCCTCTTTTTTGGTTGTGTACTGAAATTCTAACAAGTTGAAAATGAGATGGGGTCAGTTCTTGTTTACAGGCGAAAAAAAAAATTCTTGTTTACAGAGTTTGGGAGTTATGTTACCCGGATTTTTCTTGAGTAGGTGAAATTTTTTTGGTGGACGCTCAATATTTGGATATAATTATGGGATATGTTACATGATTTTGGTTAGTTATACACTTAAAAATATAATTATTTAATAATGTGATTATTTTCTTGGATATTACTAAGAGGCGTACTAATAGTGTCTAACTTTTCAAACGGTGTTAGAATCTCTCTTCCCCTAACTTGTCTGGATATAAAAATAAAAAAATTAATAATGTGATTTTATTCCGTCATATTTTGAAAAATAACTTTCTTATGTTATATAATAATATTATTTTACTCTACAAAATAATATAAATATTTAACCGTGTTCATATACCCTCCAGTTTAGAGACCGTATGTATGATGAATGTACATTCCACACACAACATGAGCATCTGAATCCACGTAACACAACCGGTAACCAGTACAACTTTGAAGATGGTAATTCAAATTCATTTATGTGGATCACCACTAAAGCCATACATGTGGACACAAAGTATATACATGATTACATCCATACTTAGCTTTTCAGTGGGAAAGGAATCAGATAGAACACCAAGTAAGCTGGTATGAAAGTGTTTGAATTGATTCAATTTCCAGTTCATGGGGGGACCAATTTCCCTTTTTCTATGAAGCCTTCGAGAATGGATAAAGTCAATAGGGTTTTCCTTGATGGCTTGAAGCTTCTTTATTTTGATTATTTTATTTATTGATTTTAGTAGGAGTCAAAAGGAACAGCAATTAATCTTTTTTTTTACCTTAAGAGTGTCACTATTGTTGTCAATTAATCTATTAGTTTTTCCTTTTTCAACACTAAATCCCTATACCATATGAGTTATTGTGAAGAGTCAAAGACGGTTAGATGGGTGGGTCATGATTCGCGGCTCTTATGGGCGACAAGTCTATACTGTATAATATATCTACATGTAATTGGGAATTGGGATAAACCTAATTTTTCCCTTTCTAATTTTATGTTCCCACTTCTTTTTAGTATCCAAAATATTCCAATCATTTGTTGATGGCTTATTTCCTACTTGTTAAAGCATTTTCAAGATTTTACACATGGCATATTAAAAATTCGTCTTTGAGTCGTCCCATCAATCGTAGTACTTAAAGGAGCTTTCGTATCAACCACTTCAATGTATCTTAACATATTATTGAAAATAATAATAATAAATAAGTAAATAAAAATTACAGCAGCCGCAAGGTACAAAGGAGGGCCTTGCGTCGTTGAGATTGTGACGGTACCTATGAGCAATTGAAACCTCTTATACGATTGAGAGGTTTCTCTTAGATTTATTGTTTTTATTTCAAATTAGCTATGGATTGAAGGCGGGTGTGTATATATTACACAAAAGAATCTACAGATGCTCTTGTTACCGGATTCAGTTATTAACTGCTAATAGTTGGGCTTGTAAGTTTGGGGTTTCTCTGTGGCTTTGGGGCTTCTTGTTTTGCCCTATTGCTTTCCATTTACCAAAAGCTTTGGTTTTTTTATTTAGTAAGATATAAATATAAAAACAAATAAAAAAAAATTAAAGAAGGAAAAATGATTTTCAAATTTCTAAATTAGAAGATGAGAAAGATGCATTAGAACATAGGTCACCATTTTGCATGCTTACATATTATTGTATGATGAACTAGCACAACGGATGGCTGAGATTAAATTTAGAATCCATGGCTATTAGAAAATATAAGAGTTGAAAATTGTACCAATTCAACTAGAAACAGGAAAATTAATCACTTTTCAAGTTTCTTCAACTGCTTCCAATTATATATCTAGACATTTGTAAGATGATAAGGCACGTAATTACACTTTTTTCTATATATCTCGTCTGAACAATTCAAATCCCTCTGCCTCTCTATAATATATAGATAAAAGATTTCATGTTTCAACATGTATAAGGTGTGTTCCTCGTGACACCAAATATTACTTGGGCAAATTATGTGATTTATAGAATAATTGTGCAGATCTCTGAAAACACTTGAACCTTTATTTTCATTGTCCAAAGTCAATTAGTATGCAAGCAAATGCAAGTCCCCAAATTCATAGTATACAACCACATCAATATATAGAAAGGTATGTAAACGCAACCTTGAGATTATTTTTAAATGACGTCAACTGTGATCTCCTGCATTTGTCATCCAAAGAAAAAACCAATAACTATAACACTGCAATCTTAGATACTGTATGTGGATTTGATACATTTTACATGTCACATGTTATTTATATATATATGGGATAAGTGCAAAAAAAACCCCTGATATATAGACTTTGTGCCAAATTAGTCCCTACTTTTTGAAAATGTGCATGCAAGTCCACAAAATTCAAAAAAGGTGCATAACCAGTCACTCTGACAACTTTTTACAAAAAGTAAAACTGAAAACCCCATTTTATCCTTTTGTTTCCCATTTTGCCCCTCACCCATACGTGCATATAATCTCGTCGGAGATGTGACCGGATTTTCGCCGGAATCGGATTTTCGCAGGAGAAGACGCGTGAGGCGCGTGACAGCGCGTGAAATCTACTCACAAAACTTCAGGTGGCGAATGTAGGCGCGTGTAACGTCGTTCGTGGCTTTTATTTGCAGCGTCGTGTTCGTCTTGGTCTTGTGGACCTTATTCGGCAATCAAAAAGTGATTTTGATCACGTTTATTTTCTGCATTGTTGGCTCTCTCTCTCTCTGATCTCTATAATTTTCCTACTCTTTCTGGCTCTCTTAACAATCACCACAATTTTCTCTCTCTTCAACACATCTGCGGCGGCCGATGGCGAAGCGGCCATGGAAATATGGGGTGACCGAGCCCTAGAAATTCACTTTCTTGTCAAATCCCCTCTCGTCTGTAGCCCCTCAGGTTAAGGTAGTGGTAGTACCAAGCCTCTTTGCAATAACCGAAGGAAGAAGAAAGAATTGAACAAGAATAGATAACAACATAATGGAATGTGTAGAGAGAGAAGTACTGCTGCGCGGGTTGCGTGTGCGCAAAAAAAGATGAAGAGAGAGAAAGCATGAAAGTACGGAGAGACCCAACCATCCAAAACAGCTCTGTGAAGAAGAAGATGATGATTGATCTGGGTCTGTGCTTTCAGTAGTGTTTGACAGAAGAGAGAGAAAGGTGTGGACAGACAAAATTTTATTTAGTGCTTGTATTCGTAAATTAGGTTATATCATATGTATTGCATACTATATATATATATATATAAAGAAAATGGAGTCAGTGGACAATTCACAAAGCAGATCTTGCTTTCTGGGCAGTTCGTTTCATACATCCAGGTCAATCTCTAAGCAATTCACAAAGCAATTCGTTTCAATCTCCAAGTCAGTGTGATTGTTGCAATAACAAATATATATATCAAACCAAAAACCTATCTCCAACCTTCACTTCTGATGCCTTTCAAACCCAATTTGGAATCAATCTTACCAAACAAAATGAGTGAACAAGGTCAACCCACTAAAATAAAAAATAAAAATAAAAAAGAATAAAGGACCTAAAATGGTAATTTATATTGTTTATTTTTTTTTAATAATATTTCATTTATATTAGAGAGGATATTATCGTCATTTTACACGACCAGGGATCCAATCGCACCAAATTGATAGTATAGGGGGGTTTTTTACTACACAAGGACTGATATGCACTATATCTATTGTAGAGGGGGGTTTTTTGCACTTAACCCTCTATATATATATATATATATATATATATATATATAAGTGTGTGGGTCCTCAAATATGTTAAGTCAACCATGATATCACATTGTGAAACTTACAAGAGAAGATAGCATTTAGTGGCGTAAGGAAGCTAGTTTTTATGCCTATAAAAAGGCAATATGCATGTACTGATTTTTGACACAGTTGAAAAAGAGTTTCTCATTCTCTTTCTTTCATTTTCTCTCTCTATCAAAGCTAATATCATATAATATTACTCTCTCTTTCTATATATATATATATATATATAGACACACACATATATATATATTTATTACACGTTATCAACACGAGCTGTATCCACTTTAGATTTGAAAAAAAAAAAAGCTCTCTCTCCCTCTTTCTATCTCAACTATATATCTATTTTGTAATATTAGTTTTGATAGATCGTTGGGTTGGTTTGTTTTATCGAATAAAATAGTATTTCTAACTCCAAAAAGTAAGAAAAGTTTAATTATGGATTATTATTCATAAAATAAATTTGTTCACTTAAATGATATATGTGCTCACACTATGGTCGATTCTACCACCTTATTATCAACTAATTATGGTCGGTCTTACCACCTTTATTATTTCATGATTTATAACCGATTTTACCGCCTTTATTGTTTAATAATACTATGTTTGGTTTTACCACCTTCGTTATTTAAATAATTCATATTATGTTATTATTTCATTTAATGTCATTTTATTTATTTATATATTATTCTAAATTATATTTTTATATTATTACATCTAGTTATTCTGAAAATGTCAAACTTGATAAAGCTGGAATTCGTGGCCTTGGACATTTCTGGCAAAAATTATTTATCTTGGATTATGGATGCTCAGATTCATTTAGATGCCATGGGCCTCGGAAACACAATTAAAGAAGAAAATGATGCATCATTATAAGAAAAAACAAAGGCCATGATTTTCCTTCGTTGCCATATTAGTGAAGAGCTAAAAACTGAATACCTCACGGAAACATATCCACTGTGTTTGTAGAACAATTTGAAAGAAAGATA